TTTCCAAAATAGCAGAATATCTAAGAAGCAACGTGTCACTTTCTTGCCAGAAAGTGAACTGCCTACGGGACTGCTATTCTTCGAGTTCCAGAGTCAACATTTGAAATAAGATCTTATGTAACTGTTGAACCATACAGTATTTCAGTGTGTTCCAAGTCAATGGCTAAATCGTATTAAAGTACACCATCAAAAGGATGGTAAATCATGATGCAAACGATAATAGATTTTTAAATCGACCATCAAACTGACTCAGACAGCAGTTTAAGAGCAACAAGTACTTCATCTCAAAGTTTGTGCAGAATTTTTTTTTATCGATTAGGACCTTGAATGTTGAGAAAAGAACCGCTCATAAATATGCAAATAACTCTGGTAACCGTTGCGATCGTAATTCTCCAGCATCATACAATAATGCTGCCTTTTTTGAGGATTTTGAAATGTATCATTTTAGCACAATATCACGCAGAGAGATTCGCATTTTAACTGATGTTTTCGTCCCCTTCTCAAAACATCCTATTTTCAAGTTACTGAACAGAATGTCACACAAAATTCCTTTTGAAAAAAATAAAGTCCCGGATTAAAAAAAAAAACTTTCTGCTTGACTTTATGTTCACGTCTCTTTAAAAAACTCAAAACACCGTAGATTTCAAGCGGATGCGCAATCGATGTTTTGCAAAATTCATTTTGAAAAAAACAAGTCCCATGTTTACAAAAATTTTCCAATTTGTTTTATGTGAACGTCTCTCTGATCAACTCAAAATATCGCATTTTCAAGCGGGTGCGCAAATAGACATTCTGTAAAATTTCTTTCGAAAAAACAAGTCCCGAATTTTGAAAAATGTTCCATATCACCTCGGAAAATCAAGTCTTTCTGGCCCAAAACATTTGCTTGCAGTAAGTTGCTGTTTTTATTTTATTCCAACATTTCATGCTCAAAAAATAATAATGATGATGCGTTTGTATTCCTCTGATCAGAAAGCTTATCTAATTCGAGGCTCACGTGATCCAAAAATGAAATGCAGCAACCAAAACGATTCACTTCTCCGGGATTTCGTTTTCCAATTTTAAATGCTGACATGATTCAAATTATAAAATGAGCTACGGAATTGCTAGACGTTCTCGGAAATGTTTGGAACGCCTTCGGCTCAAATATGGCTTCAACAACCTTCATTGCTTACAAAACAATTACTCTTCCAGGAAAATTGTGATCCTTCTTCGTGCAATGAACCAGAAAAACAACACCCGTTACTTTTTCAAGGGTTCAAGAGATAATCATCTCTCTGAGAATTCCGCGATCCGAAAACACACTTCTGGTTCCATTTGACACTTCATGAAGTACAGTACAGTGATTTACAGTGGGGTACGAAAACACGGATGTTGAACGTCGTCCCTATGTCGGAACGTCCGCACGTCGGATCACATTTCATCAGTTCTCCTGTTCATCAAAAACTTAGGAATAATTCCCCCAAAAATTGGCTGCATTTCTTCAAAACTTCAAGATGCAGCAAATAACTCTGCAGAAGGAAACATATGCATAATTTTATAATCTGGCAAAAGAAGAAGCCCACAGATCATGGGAAAAAAATAAGAAAAAAGCACAAAACCAGCCTGTCTCTGATTATGAATTAGAGTAAATTCATAATGAAATTTGAATTTGTATTTGTTCAAAAGGTATCAAAATTGTGAATAATAGAAATTTCCCAGTTTTCCAGAAAATTTGGGGAAGTGTCCGTATCTCGAGACATTTTCTTAATTTCTGGGCTGATTTCCTGAGTTTCAAGCGTTCTTCAGTCGAATCGTCCATAGGCAGGGTTCCCAGAGTAATATTGCATGAGTGCACTTTTAAGTTTTTTCGAAAATAAACTCAATCAAGAAAAAAAAACCATCCGAACCCAGAAAAGACAGGGAAGGGCATGCTTTTATAGAGCTCTGGGGAACAAGACAAGACGAAGTAATCCTCAAGGCTACTACACCGGAAAGAAGACAAGTACTCAGGCAATGTAATTCTCGACAGCATGACTGGCTCTACAAGAAGATTCAATTCATTCTGCGCAGTCTTTCCCTACAAGTCACCTTCAACGGCATCAGAACAAAGAGACCAAAGCAGACTTCGTTCAGTTTTTTTTTTCTTTTAAACAAAACAGGTCAATCTGTGACGCAGAAGAAAATGGGGTCAAATCGCAGTTTCGACCAAATGAGGCGTCATGATCCCCCACGCGTTCGTTTTGCATTTCGCGGAAAAAAAAGGGAAATTGCGCAGAAATCAACGCTCATTAACTTCCCGATCCCCTCATTCGCGGAACAAATCACCTTTACCCGGCGGAAATGCCCCTCAGCTGGCAAATGGAGTGTGAGATTGGGTTTGCATAAACATGCATATACGCGTCTTACGCCGGCATTAAAAATATGTAAATTACTCCATTCCTTCGCGTCGTCTTATTTCAGGTCTCATAAGCGGAATTTCCCCGAGAAAGCACACGGCGGAGTTGAAAGAATCGACTTTGTAATGGGTCTTGTCCGGAGGGAAATGAAGGACATCAGCGTTATTTCCAGTATCACGAGCCCGTGTTTCGAAACAGAACAACTCGATTTTTTCCTCCATTCTCGAGGTGCCTTTTTACGCGACTCGAGGCACGCAAGGATGTTTTTGTCAACCCGAATGCACGTAGACATGAAAACAAACGTGGGATTTCCCGCAGAAAAATGTCAGGAATTGTTGCACCTGCGTCAACAGAAACCATCCACGCATAACCTTCAGTGAATTTTTAGAACGTCAGTTTTGCCTACTTTGAAGAGAGAAACGTGAGGTTTTCCCTGGAACTTACGGATGCCCGTCACCGAAATCCGAGAGTAAATAGGAAGAAATACACGACCTCTCTTTTAAAGCAATATTCTCCAACACGCAGAAATTTCTGGAGCAAAGTATTGTACTGTACTGTAGGTTCTACATGCATCCATTCATGACGGAATCAAGAAAATTTGAAGTTTTTCTTTTTTACTATCCCACGAGGAAAGATCCCTAAATATTGTATTCGGAAATTCCGGGACTTTAAAGCACCTTAATAGATTTTTTTCAAAAAGTTGAGAGTTTCTGCGAGGTCATCAAGCAAGACGGTAATCAATGAGTTCAATACTATTGAAAACGTTCCGACATAAAATTTAAATTTTGACACGGAATTATTTCTACGCCTCACACAAAGTCAAGGCTGAAAATTCCGTTCCGAAAAAAGAAAAACAATACTAATAGCCTACAACAGCAAAAAATAATTAGCACACAAAAAAAGAGGCTACAGGAACCCAATACACGATAAAAATCACCAAACCCCGTGATTTTCTTTTTCCTTTCGTCTTGAAAAATAATATTTTTAGTTTCTCTGACGCTTTGAGTAAGCCAATAATCAAGAATATTGAACATTTTCCCAAATAAAACTCAGAAGTTTGACACACAAGGATTCCTTCACGGAAAATCAAGAACGGAAATTATGTTCCACAATAACGCGAAGAAAACGAATAGCCCATCATTACTGCCACGAATAAAGATATTGTACCACAAAAGCTCAAGACACGATAATAACCTCTCAGAAATCAATGGAGAAAATAATTCGAGTTTCTGTGACGTCATCAAGTAAGCCAATAATCAAGAATATTGAACTTTTTCACATACCGTATATAATTTGAAACTTTGACACGTAATTATTCCTGCGCCTAACGCAAAATCAGGGCTCGAAATCCCATTTCCTAAAATAAATAAAAAATGTATCGTCATTAACACACGAAAACGGGAAAACACGCAAAGAATACGATAATTACCACCAATTTTGCTCCTGCGTTTTTCGAAATGGAATTGATTGAAATTCGTTATTAATCAAGCTAATAATCAAGACTATTATTAAACTCTTTCCAATACTGAATTTCAAACTTTCACACGCAATTATTTCTACAGTTCACGCGAAATCAAAAATTGGAAAGTCCATTTCGCGAAAAAGGAAAAAAAATTAATATTCTAGCATCATTAGCACAAGGAAAAAGTGCCATTGAGGACAAAGGCACGATAATGAACACAAATCCCTGATTTTCTTTTTTTTCCAGAAATGAAATAGAATAAAACTTGAGTTTCCGCGACGTTATCAAGTAAAGCTAATAATCAAAACTATTCTTAAACTCTTTCCAATGTTGATATTCAAAACGTATACAAGCAATTATTCATAAACCTCACGCGAAATCAGAATTGGATATTCCGTCTCGCGAACACAAAAAACAAAATTCAAAAGCCGAGCATCATTATCGCGAGAAGAAGAAAACGTGACAAAGGCTCAAGACAGGATCAGGATAATGACCATAAATCCCCTGAATTTTTTTTGCCTGGGTCTTGCGAAATTAAATGGAGTAAAATTGAAATTTCTGCGAAGTAATCAAATAGGCCGAATGTCAACACTGTACTATCGAACTCTTTCCCATATAAAATTTGAAACTTGATCTAACAATTATTACTGCACCTAACGCAAAACCAAGAATGGAAATTCTATTTCGCGAAAATAAAAACAAAAAATTTGAGAGCCCAGCATCATGATCACAAGAAAAAGATGCGTCAGAACACGAAGACAGGATAAGACCACTAATACCCAATTTTTTTGTTTTGCCTGGGTCTTCAGAAATGAAATTGAACTTAACCAATACTATTGAATTCTTGCACAAATAAAATTTAAAACTTGGACAAGCGATTATTCCTGCACCTCGAGCATAACCAAGACTGAAAATCCCCTTTCCGCAAACAAAAATAAAGAAAAAAAAAGTAATTCAAAAACCTGGCATCATCACCGCGAGAAAAGAAAAAAAGACGCGACAGAGGCCCAAGACACGATAATGACCACCGATCCCTGTGATTTCCTCTTCCCTCCTCGTCATTTATTTTATTTTTTGTTCTCCTCCGTAAAAGAAATTGAATCAAAAATGGAAAAGGGGATTCGTTCTGCCCGGGGGAAGATACACGCCCTCGTACACGACTACATCCATCCCAGGAGCGCGGACAAGGGCGAGTTTATTACTGTTCTCAAGCACGCGCTGGTCCACTCACCGGGCGTCGTCTGCCAGCTCAGCCCACCGACGAACATCTTCCTGCAAATAGAACCGCACCACGAAAAATATAAAGAAATGCTCACTACACTGACAAAGAGAGGCAAAAACGGGGAGGGGGGTAGAGAATGAAATACGATGGAAACTCCCTCATTTGGGCTAATGACCTCCTTCCAGATAATCGAAAATCATGGTCAGTCGAACCCGACGATATTCATTTTTTCCACAACAACCTCACGTCATTTCGGGAACTCTTCTTCAACATCTCGGAGAGCAAGATATCCTCAACTTCCTCGGGAGGGTGGGGAAGCCATAAAATTTAATGCATTTATTTTCTGAAAGTCACACCAATTTTAAATTTAGTCCCGTTTAAATTATTGCATTCACGCGATTACAGGTCGATTCCGGAGAAAATAAATCGGCATGAAAGATGTTGAGATTTTTTTCGGATTAAGCCCTGCTAAAATTCAGGGATTGCGGAAATAAAGCACAATTGATTATTGATATGACACAATATCACATGTAAAGGCCACGCAAGTTCTGAAATCGCACTGCGGCCTATGCTTGCATACCTCAAACATAGGCCGCACTCACATTTTCAGATAGTCTTTGATGGGAGGGGGAGGGGAATAGGTGTGGTCATAATCACGTGTTTTCTTCGAAGATGGTTAATTGGAATCACTGTCAATCGAAGCACCGCTAATGAACCTTTTACGGTATACAGGCGGACTCTCTCAGAAGAAATCATTCGCTTTTTGGAGGAGAAAACTGTTGCCGGGCAGTCGCTCTTGGATCGACTCAAGGTCTGTTTCCCATGCACGGAGAATAATGGGGAAAGTACTGCAGAGGGCATTTTCGCAGCGTGGATACACATGTACTGTATATATTTATGGAGCGAGAGAGAGTCGACCTGCACTGAGCACAAGAACCCGTGGGGGTGGAAAACGTACCCAGGGTCGTTGGGGATCTCGGCAGTGGAGCCGTTGGCGAGTTCCTGCACGGACTCCATGCCGTCCACAGCCCCGGCAGCCAGATTTGCGCGGAAACAAGTCGAGGAACAAGGCCTAGTGCTCTAAGATATAAACCCGGGCCGCCGTTCGACAAAAGCCTGTGCGTCGCACTAACCACTAAGACCTAAAAAGAACTGCGCTAGAACCACCGCCGTCCGGCTCGGTAAGTCGCCTTCGACTGCCCGCTTCCCGCGAAGAGCCTCGGCTACCTACCCGGGCCACACTCGGTCTGTCCGCCCAGAGGAGACTGTCCGCGGGAGGGACGGGAGGCCCGCAAGCCCCTCCCACGGCTCCCGATTTTCTCCAAAAACCTCGGCCTTCTTTATCTAGCTGTTCCACCGCGACAAGGGGGGGAAACGGCAAACATTGAACCAGCTTTCAAGGAGTTGGGGGCCCTTGCAGTACTGACCTTCTTGTAACTTTGCTAGAGCTGCTGGATGGACAGACCTGCTGCACGGTGGTGCTGGGAATCACTGCATTTTTATTACTTGACGTTACAAGGACTGCATGCAGGAGGCATCTGCTTTCTGGAACTCCACACCAGAAATTATCAGCGTGGAGGAAAAAGGAATTCCGGTGCGCTGAACATGTCTCCTACCAAAAACTTGCTTGGGAAACCCTCAGAACACACTAACATGATTCCATGTCACGTTTGTTCGTTCTGGTGCATTTATGTTGTTTTCAATGCAGAATTTCACTGGGTGAGTTTTGTGCATTTTTGCACCAGAAGCACACACACATTCACAAACAGCATGCGTTCATCACAGAATCTACTGAAAGTAATGGAATTTAAACCACATCAAAGTTAAAGAAGAAAATACCTGATTCCACTGCACATAAAATAAGATTTTTTTAAATATGGCTGAGCTACACTTACCAGCAAGGCATCATTGAATAGAACAGGGGTCTAGCATCAGCACATGTTCCATTCCATCCTCTGCTGTTAAAATGAACTTTCTTGGATTTTATGGTGCTGATTTATGAAAATTTGCACGATCGCTAATTTTCATCTATGAATATGCGTCACATAGGCGTTTTCAATCAACCTAACACAGATTGAAATTATGAATGCAATTTAAAATAGTTTGGCTGGTTTGATTACTCTCCTAGAAAAATTGTTTAATGTGATTTTAGGCGACGATTTCAGGCAGTGCGTTTGAAAATAATTTATTTTATTTTCTAACCATTCTTGGTGAACCACATGAATGAATTTACAAGTATATACACTAGCTGAATCATTATTTGCAGCATTTGAAGTTTGAAATTAATTGGTCTGTATTGTCCATGCAAATACAGGTGGACTCTCTCTCTCTCTCTTTTGCCCTGGAAAATGGGCAGAGAACTCTATTGGATCAAACAAAAATTTGTCATGCAGAGAAAATTGTTGTAGACAAGATCATTATAGAGAGAGCCCACCTGTAAATATGATTGAACATTTTATTTTACCATTGGTTTCAAATGATTTCCTGATTACCAATTTCAAGTTAAACTCCACATAATTCTACTACAGTATTCTTTGTGCCAAAGGGTGTCTGTTCTTTTCATTTTTTTTTCAATTTCAAGCAGCTTTTTCACATAATTCTTACTCTTGATAGTCTACCTGCAATTCACTGTCATGCAGCCACGAAAGCAAAACCAACAATGATGTACATTTTTGTATGAGGTAAATTGATTTTATTTTATTGGACATATTTCTCTCATTACACAAGACTCATGACAATATGGTGCACTCATAATTATTTCGAAAGAAAACTAGCAAGAAAAACCTATAAGTATAATTTGTTAAAATGAGTAATTGGACTGATTCCCTGAATATTTTCCGGATAAAATTGCATGTCAAACAAAATTTAAAATCTCGGAGTCGGAAAATTTCTCAATTGCTTGTTCATGTGCAGGTGTAGAAGAAACATTTCTGGCTGCATTTTTCCTGCAACCATATATGTATTATTTATGTTTTCTTGGTTTCTTCATTATTTAAGAGCGCGGGACATTACTGTACTACTGTTTAACGAAGAAAAGAGTCCGAAGGAAATTCTGGAAATAGGGACAATTTTTTCTATAAAGGTGAACCAGTTGCATTTACATTTTCCCCACATTTGAAAATGCAAGAAAGGTCGCCTCCAATGAGTACAGTACTTATATATGAAGGCAAACGCAAAACCCTTGTCAAACCCTCGGGTGCCCTTTTTTCCGCACAAAGAAATTCTTCGTCCGACTTCAACCCACACTTGGCTTCTCCATACGTCGATCAAAATTATGTAATTTCGCATTCTTCTCACGGGATATTCAAGTCACACCATGCATCAGCGACATTCATTTATTCGACGCCTGATGTGTTTCATGCTCGAGGCCTGCCTATAACAATGTTGAACAGGGCTCGGGAAAGAAGGAAACGTGCGGAACCTTATGGTTTCCGCAGTCTCACGCGGCTTTTACGAATTAAACCCGCGTTTCAGTCAAAATCTGGTGAAAGGTGCAAAGGCGAAGTTCAGGTGTTCTGAAACGGACGACTGGGCATCAACAGCTGCATCAAACTTCACTGATCGCAACTTCACGTTACAGCGACTGCTCCACAATAACCCGCAGGAATTCCCTGCTTGCTCTGATCCCACGACGCATTTCGCCAGGGTTTGTTTAGAAAAAAAAAGTAATAATAAACTATCCAGGAGGGAGAATACTTTTTTTTAGAATGAATACAAGTTGTACAAGGGTTGGTTCATAAATTTTGATAATGAAAGTGAGACCCCAAGATGCGGACGTAATTGGTGCATCAAGAGTGTTCCAAAGTCGAAATGTCCCTAAGTTGAGTCTCATTTTCCCTTAGACTTGAATTATTTAATTTTAATTGGTGTTTTATGTACAAAATACTCACCATAATTTTATGAAAATAAAAATTGTCCCTCAATTTCAACTGATTCCAATAAAATAAAATCAATTTACCTCATACAAAAATGTACATCATTGTTGGTTTTGCTTTCGTGGCTGCATGACAGTGAATTGCAGGTAGACTATCAAGAGTAAGAATATTAGGGTTGGAAATATCTGTTTCTTGTAATTTGGCCTGAAATGTACCATATTTACTCAAGTACCACGTGCACCTTTTTTCCAAAATTTCAGAAGAAAAAAAGGGGTGCATGTCATAAGTGGGTACACAATTTTCAAGAAGTTTTAGGAAGTTATATGTGCATTATGTTTAATTGTAATGGAGAAATTTGGAACAAATATAAAAAGAAAAAATTTTTGTACTGAAAAAGTTGAAATTTGATCAGATTTTTGTTCAATTCATGCCTAAAGTCAAATTTTTTGCTTTTATTTTGAAATTATATGGCTTTAGATTCACTAAAAATTGGGGCGTGCGTCTTACTTGGGGATCAGATTTTTGCAAAATTTTCAACTGAAAACCCCCTGTGCGCGCCTTACTCAAGGGCATGTGGTACTCAAGTAAATACAGTATATGCAATTTTATAACAAAATGTCCCCATGTTGAGTCAGTGTCCTCATGTTGGGCCTTTTCATATTGATTTTCTATGAGAAAATAAGTGTCCCTAGGTCGTATTGTCTGCAGGTTGAGGTGTCTGCATGTGGGGATCTCACTGCATGTCCAAGGTAGTTCAAAGAATCCCAAAAATTACTGTAATTTATTCCTGTAGCCCTATCATTCAGCAACAATTCAGTACTGTTCAAAATACTTTCTGCCAATTTCAATGCATTTTTCATGCGATAATTCCTACAATCAAAACAGTGCCAAAAATCGAGTTCCATTGGTTGATGGAATCACTGGTCTTTGATGGCAGAAAAGAGGCTGTCCCTGTCCTCAAAATCAATCCCGTTCAGGTCATTCTTCACTGTTGAGAACAGCCAGAAAACAAAGGGTACAAAATCAACTGACAGAACTGAATATGCTGCACTGTTTTGATGGCTTGATTTATCGCATGAAAAACGCATTGAAATCAGTGAAGATTTGTGCGTTGAACAGCATTGAGGTAATGTGTAATGATGGAGGTACGCAAGTAATTTTTTTGTTTTTGGAATCGTTGAAAGTCGGAAGGATCTATTTCCAAAAGTCTCAAAATTTATGAACCTAACCTTGCATTTATTTCGCGTGGGGCGGATGCAGTACAGTACTGTGATGTACCGTGTAATGTACCAAACCACCTCCCGACCCTGAACTCACTCCAAGTTGCTGCTGGGCTGCAAAAGAAAAGTCCCGAAACCCAGGCAAGGGAAGAATTGCTCCCAACCCAACCCAACCCACCAGGGCCATAAAAATTCTTCACTTCCTCTCATATTATTTCGTTTGCTGGAACACTTTCTCCCAGTTGATATTTAAAAATCCATATTGACCATGCTTGAAGTGTTTCTTTAATCAGCTGATCGAAATTACGTGAAATTTATAAAATTTCGTGCAAAATTTTTAATAAGTTCTCAGGTCTGATTTAAATCAGGTCACTAAATAAAAGTAATCTCAGCAGCTCTGGATTTTTCGGGGTGCTTTGAACCCAATTCAGGACAATAGCACATGAGGGAAATAAATTGAATTAAAATATGATAATTTACTGAAATGCAAAATACCTTGACCCAGGAAGTAATATGTCATAGGAAGAGGACTAATATTTTTTTTCAGACTCAAGGCGAGTGAGTACCTGTTTTCTTCCAAACGTCATAACATTCAATTTCCAGTAAACCAATGATGTTGGAAAATTATAAAATTCAAATTTCCGTCTCTGGAACAAAATGGGAAACAACTGTGTTGCTCCATTATGATACGTTTACATGAGGTTAGTCCAGGTCAAGTTCTAATCAGGAATGAGGTAATCTTTCGTTAGAAGATACAGTAATTGCTATTTATTGCAGCAAATTAATTTTTGATGCTTAGAACATCATCTCTCCAGTATATCCTCAAGATTATTTGAGCACAGTTTTGATGGATCAAAGGTTCATACCAAGTTCCAAAGGCTTCATTGGAACAATACTTTACTGAATTTTACACAGTCACATTCTGTTGTAATTTCAAGGTAGGTCATGCCAGTTTTCATTGGTTCAAACTAGTTCATATTCAGTTAGGTCTAGTCATGTTTGTTTAGCTTCAGTTGCAAATTTTAAAAATGGATTCATTGGTCTCAGTATAGTTCCACCCAGGTTAGGCTCAGGTGATTTTGGGAAACATTTGATCAATATTCAGTTCAGTCTGTCTTCTCTGTCTGGTAGTGGTTTCTTTGATGCCCACCTGACATTCCAAAGATTAATGTTGTACATTGAAGCAAAAATACTGTGAATTAAAAGTTTAATTGGCTCAAAGCTTTTGTCATTCAAGGGTGACTGCAACCATTAATATACTGCACATTAGAATTTTGTTAGAATGGATTTTGGCGAAAAATAATTATATATTTGTAATGTAAGGTCTTTTTAATAAAGTCACAATTTCTTATGTTCTTTATTCTTGAATTACAGTCAACCCCTGTCTAATGGACTTGATTTGTGCAAGGGACGAGTCTGTTAGACAAAAAGTCCTTTACACAAATTCAATTACATAAAAAATTGAAAATTTCAATTTTCAACACTAATTTTAAACCAAAAGAAGTCTGTTTGGTGGATTTTGTCTGTTTGGCAGGAGGAAAAACTGCTTGCAGAGCTGGTCTGTTTGGCAAAAATCCCTTACACGGGAGATCTGTTAGGTGGGGGGCCACTGTATAGCAAAGGTTTTTTTTTTCAAAGTACCCATTGTTTTCTTGTACTGTACTGATATTTTCCTGCACTTGTCTTTTTCATATTCCCATATGCTGCAGTGCATCTTTCATTTTGACCTGCTGCTGAGATGGCAAAGAGGGGAAAATATCCCATGAAACCTCAGGGATGCTCATATCGCACTGACAAGTCGCACGGACATGCTGGACCAGGAAACAAAGGTGCAGCAACCCTGCGGTGAGGGTTTCAGTATTTATGACCACATTGCAACATGATGCAAGTCCTGTGCTCGGTACCACGGACCAGTGGCCATGTGATCGACTGGTTGATGCCCCTCTGAATCTCCCTCATTCATGCATTCCTTCTTACAGCCCCGTTTCTCTCATCCCATTACGCGTTTTATTCATGACTTTTTGGTTCTGCTTGGTGACGAGGAAAACGTGTGTGTTCTGATGGCCGATGATGTCTCAATGCCAAATCTGGCAGTCGATTTGTCCTGTTTCCAGGGAACTGGTGTATGTGCGTGTGTGTGTGTATGATATCCAACGTCAATCCTTCTAGAAAAAGAAACGTGTTGAGTGCAACAGGCAATTCCCTGTGGTGTTCTTGAACGAGTTTTTTTCCTTCTTTATTTTTATTTTTTACGAGCAACCATTTTCCTTTTGGGTCAGTTTTACGAGAGCCGAGGGATGAAGACCCGGTAGCCCACATGGGTTATGACTTTTGAGTGAGGGAATAAAAAGGTGATTTTTACTGCGGACTGCTGCATTCAAGCCTCACAATTCAGTTCAATTCGCTTCATCTGAACTCGAAATTTCGAAGGATTAATCAAATAGGCCGGCAGAAAGTGAATTATACGGTTTGGCAAGGATTTTTGTGCCAAAAAGGGTGTCAGGTTCTTGAAATGAAGAATATTTTTTTCTGGGCAGACAAGGTTATGAGATAGAATCCCCCGAATGGAGAAAGGAAACATGACAAGACCTGATAAAAGATTTTATGAACAATATTTTGGTAAATAATTTTTTTTCATTTTTCAACACCGATTTATGCAACATTTATTGGTCACCTGTCGATATCATAGGCAAAACCTTCACACATGCAGCGTCAGTGTCACCCAATTTCAAAGTTCAGAAAACGTTTTCCACAGATAATGCTTGTAAAATCTAAGACATGTTTGCTGAAATATTTTTTTAATTTTTTTAATATTATACGGTTTGGCAAGGAATTTAGTGCCAAAAAGGGTGTCAGGTTCTTGAAATGAAGATTATTTTTTCTGGGCAGACAAGGTTATGACATAGAATCCCCCGAATGTAGAAAAGAAACATGACAAGACTTGATACAAGATTTTATGAACAATATTTTGGAAAATAACTTTTTTTTCATTTTTCAACACTAATTTATGCAACATTTATTGGTCACCTGTCGATATCATAGGGAAAACCTTCCCACATGCAGCGTCAGTGTCACCCAATTTCAAAGTTCAGAAAACGTTTTCCGCAGATAATGTTTGTAAAATCTAAGACACGTTTGCTGAAATATTTTTTTAATTGTTTGAAATATTGGAAGCACTTGGGCTGCTTCCAAAATTATTATCAGCAAAAGAAAAAGGTGGAAGGTAAACTTTTTTTTAAGTGATGGGGTTTTTCCCTGCCACCTCTGCAAGACAACCTGGCATCCAGAGCAACATTTTGAAGTGTGTCTAGAAAAAAGTGGTCCTGTCAAACTTTCTTCCACCGTCATCAGAGGAGGAAGAATTTCAAAAATTTATCTGTAACAACCTTTCTATGTTTGAAATTTTAAAAAGTGTGAGAAAGAATGAGATTATAGCTCATCCTTTATTTACAGAACCAACACAAGTCCTCACATAAGAGGCGCACCTTCATTTTTGAGCTTCATATTTTGGTAGAAACTTATCCTTAAATATAATTTGAACACAACGCAGTTTTAAAATGTTATCCAAAAACTATTTTACGAAAGCTGTTGGTCAACGATGATCAGTCGTTGATGACACTTTCTAATAATTAAAGGAAAAGGGGATCGGAGATTTAAGTCGTTTTCCGCGACTTTCGAAGGAAACGCAAAAGTTACTCCGTGAGAGTATTCAAATGTTTATTTATTTATCTTCACACACAGTCGATACAATAATATTCTAGCGAGAGCGAAGCGACGCAGATTCGGCGTTCGGACAGTGTCTGGTGCGGTAAACTTAACTCAACATAAAATGCACCTGTATATATAGCTTCGGCCGGCCGAGGTCGAGGAACGCGCATAGAAACCGATTCGGATCGGGGACATCATGCTTCGTTTGTTCCAAAGGAAGGAAGCGTGAGCGCGGTCGGGAAAGTATTCCGTCAACAACGGGATTGTGAAATATAATTGCTAGCGCACCAGGCGCAGCCAAGCGTAGCGGAAATACATTAGCTTAAAAGGGTCGTGCGTAAAGTGAAGGGTGTTGTGGTCGTTAATATGACTACAAATCTCCCCTGGTAAACGAGAAAAAGCTCCTGCGTACACAAGTGTCAAAAGTGTTTCAGTCAGCGGGAAAAAGGATCGAAATTTTCGTTCGATTCCCACACCTCCCCTGATCACGTCTCAGGCATGCTGAAAGACGTTACACAGGAAAACATTCTCATGGGGGGCAATAAGAATGGTAATAACAACCATATCTGCCTCCCCTCAACTCCTTCAAGTTCACCAGGAAGCTGTAGAGGTCTGGCATGCCAATGCCTGATTCCTCAGTTCACCTTACACCCCTGTTCAGGTATGTGCTCCTGACCCCCTTAAGCTCTTAATAAAAACTGTAAAGTTTAAAATTAGCTTATTCCGCGTGTTTTTTCGCTTGTTCTTTCTTTTGAGTGTTCTTAAACACATTCCCATTGTTTTCGGACGGGTTGTGGTCGGGATTGACGGTGAATTTCGCGATCTTTCGTTCGCGGATTTCGTTCGCGAGATACGCGTAACGATCGATTTTGGCGCGAAATGCGGTCCGAAATTAAAAAACTAAACGGTTCGTTCGGTTTCAGGTTGTGTAAGGAAGATCTCCTGCGATTTTCGGCCAGTTTCACCGTTCGGTTCGCGAGTTTCAAACAAAAAGGTGAATTCCCTTAGAAACCTTAACAAAGTAGGATCAGATCTGATCCAAGTGCATCTTTTGAAATTTTCACAGTTTTCATTCAAGAATGGCGGGTTTCGCGGTCACGGTCTTGCTGTTGGTGTTGGTGGTGCATCCCGATGCGTCATCCGGGCGTTGTCATGTTCAAGATGGCCGCCTTCACTGTACCGAGGCGTGTGACTCGGACGCGGTTCGCGCTTCCGAGTTCGACGGGAGGATCGTCTTGACGGGTCACGTGTTGGACTTCGGGTGTTTGGATTTCTTCGGGATCAAGGTTGGTTGAAGAAAAACTGGTCTGAATGCGTGAGTTTTTCAGCTTCGTGATTTTTCCAGAAGGTAGAATTGCTGAGTCCCACTAGATGTGAGGGCAATTTTCGTCCGTCGCTGGTGGATCCGGTGGATTTTTGTGTGACCGGACGGGTTACGGTGGATCTTCAAACTTCTTCTCCATACTTGACGTCCATCCC